TAGTGAAGGGAAGGATTGATTGATCGAATAATTATTCGATCAATCAATCCTTGATGTAAATGAATTTGAGCACAAAATCAAAACTATGAATTAATGAAAAGAAACTAATTATATCTACTGGTACTCAGTTTTCTTTCCATTAATTTAATTATTTCCAAATACAATTATCCTCTACTTAATGTTTCCACTACTTGGACACAGCTTTTCCTTAGGTGGAATAGTTAGAACTAGCTAAATCTACGGGCTTAGTGCTGATTGGTTGGCTAGCGAGGGTCGATACTGTCAGGACCAACGTTTTAGGAAAGAGCAGAGCATGGAGAAGCTATCGGACGGTCTAAAGGCTCCTGATGGATGAATGAATGAATAATAATGAATGGAAAAATGAGAGAAGACCCCCTGAGGGGAGATGCCATCCGCCTGGAACACCTCTAGAAGCACTCGCCAATTCACGGCTTAAAGTCCCTTTAGGATCTCGCCGTCCCCAAACCCGGTGACGCTCTAAAGGTCATCTGCGTCTGCGGCCAAAAGCTCGAGATGAAATTCTTGACCAACCTATTACCACGACCAGCTATAACTGGTTTAACTTCGTAGACTGCAGACCGAAAGTGCTAGGCACTTTGCCATCAAACTCTTTCATTTTTCCAAATATAATTAGACTAAGATGTACATAATACGAAGTGTTACAGAAAAAATAAAACAAAGAGGAAAAATTATAAATCGACACAGAAGACAAAAAAAATGCGTGAGTGTCGTGGAACATTCGGTTGGAACGGAATTATAACTGTTGATATATCACCAACCATTCCGCACTGGGCCCGCGCGCCGTGTATGGAGCAATCTTCCTTTTCCACTAAAAAATTATCTTCCCCACTAATCCTCACTGGGCGCAGAACAGAATGGCCCCAGTGCGGAAGTGGCCAAGTGCGGAATGGACCCAGTGCGGACACTGCCAGTCCATCACCACCGCTCCCGGCCCATCACTCACCAAACAAAACTTTAAACCAAGTCCGCAACAACCGAAGTCAGTGGTCGCCCACCTCGCTACCCATCTAGGTACCAGCCCAGCTGCATAGCTAGGTTGTAACAGTAAATTTTCGCCTAGCGCCCATCCGCCAATCCATCCAAAAAGGCACTTCATTCCAATACTTTCATCGAAACAACGATAAAATAAATAATATACCTACAATGGTGCCTGGTCCGCGTGGATATTTTTATCTAGTAAAACTTTTCTCTAGATATAAACATCTAGCATTCAAATGCTTAAAAATAAATAAAAACATAACTTTATTTGCTATTTCTTCTTTCAAATGTTTAATACTTGAAAAAGTATTCATTTGACATTGTGGGTTACCTACAATGCGAAGAGATGGCGCTGCCTTGCAGCTTAAGGCTAGAAAAATTTTCTATTTAACTTTAAATTTTTTAATTTTCTATTCTATTCAACGCGGCCATGAGGGCCGTGGTAGCATAATTGGTCAGTGCATTCGCCCTGATTGCGAAGGGTGCGGGTTCGAGTCCCGTCCGCTGCCTGGTCCGCGTGGATTTTTTTCCAATAAAACTTTTCTTTAGATTTAAACATCTAGCAGTCATATGCTTAAAAATAAATACCTACAATTCATAATACTCTATTCCTTCACTTATAGCTTACACCAAACTCATTTTCTCCTGCTTCACCATTGAACTTAATTTGAACCTCATAGCTGCAAAATTAATAAGAAGATCTCTCAACGAAGCATTCTATTCAACACTTCAGATGGAAGCGAACGATCTGCTGCTTGATTGGATTCGAAACAGGCGAGTTTTATCCTTATAATAAATATGATATAAAATAAACGTGAGTAAATCTCTAAAAATATATAAATATATATAAAAATGTAATGTTGGTTTGTGTACGCTTCAAAAACTCAAAAAGTTCTGCACCGATTGAGTTGAAATTTTAACATGATATAAAATTCGCATCAAGGATTGTTTTTATCTATTTTTTGCATCAGTCAAATATCTGCGACCGCGAGAAAACAGTTTTTTTAATGATCAGTTGTGTACCAGTGACCGCGCCATCTGCCAGAAGCGAGGAAAACACTCGCTGACAACCGCAATAGTAATGACGCAGTCACATGACAAACAATTTCGTTCCTAATTACATTGTTTATTTACAAAAAAGAATTGCATCTGATTCTGATTATTATACAATCTGAATTAAATATTCACTTAAATCAAGAATTTTTGGTGTGATAGTGTTATATTTTATATCAAAGATGGACAGTAAAAATATTATTTTTTGCAATTATTATTTATTTAATATTAATTAATTAAATAAATAAGTAAAATATTAGTTAAATAATTAATTAATAACAAAACATATTTATTATTGAAGTGAATCTTTTCTATCGACGTATGAGAGAAATTTTATAGCAATGTTTGTTTCTATAATTTTTGTAATTTAGTTACATCGAAAGAAGAACTGATCGAAAAAGTATTTCCTGACATTCAAATAAATCATAGAAATCATGATTGGCTCAGTGAACGAGCTATCCTTGCCGCAAAGAATAAAGATGTCTATCAACTTAATAATGTTATTCAATCCAGTATTCAAAGTGATGAAATTACATATAAGTCGATAGACACCGTTGTGGAAGCAGATGAAGTAGTAAATTATCCAACAGAATTTTTAAACTCACTTGATCTGCCAGGGATACCACCACACATATTAAAATTGAAAGTAGGTGTGCCAATTATCCTCTTGCGGAATATTAATCAGCCAAAACTCTGCAACGGCACGCGACTTGCAGTTAAGAAATTAATGAATAACGTAGTGGAAGCAACGATTTTAACGGGGCCTTTCAAAGGTGAAGATGTCCTCATTCCTCGAATACCCATGATCCCGACCGATACACCATTTCAATTTAAAAGATTGCAATTCCCAATTCGATTGGCATTTGCAATCACAATCAATAAAGCTCAAGGTCAATCTTTACAATTGTGTGGTTTAGATTTGCGGATTGCTTTTCACATGGACAACTGTATGTTGCGTGTTCCCGAGTCGGCAAACCAGATAGTCTTTATATCTACGCAGACAGTGAAAAAACAAAAAATATTGTATATCCACAAGTATTGCAAAATTAAACTTATATGAAATGTATTCTTCATTTTGTTTCTCATTTCTGAACCATTCAATCACAATGTGCCACTGCGAAGCGTGGCAGGGTACAGCTAGTTTACTTATAATATTTAAATAACGCAACATAGAGATTTCATATTCATATTCTTCACTCTTAAAAGGAAGAACGCAAATTAAGATTGACGGGAAACAAAAACGTTTAGTTAGTAATATTCTACTTCCTACTAATATTACAAAATATGCGAAAGTTTGTGTGTTTGTTACCCATTCCAAACGCGCTTTTATTTTTCTTACCAAAAATATTCTATCGGTAGTCCCAATTTGAATATCCATAACGAAGCTTTCTTATCTCTTGGGCGTTAATAAACGGGCAATAATAGCACAACATAATTTGGATAAAATATTGAAAAAGAAATTACTTAAAACGTCCTTTCTACCTTTTAAAAGATATTCTGAGAAATAAAATGTAATAAAAGGCACGAAGCTAAGTGTATCAAATTAAGTGGTATTCATCTTTCACGCCAAAATATACAAGCAAAAAGGAGACTACGATACCCAGTATCGGTAATGGTAAGGTATTCAGTACTTTCCAATATACATAGATTATTAGTTTTGGTACATAATAAAAGGTTTATATCAATGTTAGATTATATTCATTAAAGAGCGCTCGACTGTTCTTTGCATTGTACACTGTATAATCGTAGCAGACGAATCACCTGTCCCCGTATCATGAGCACAATTTACATTACATCACGTTTTTTACCGCGTCTAACTGTTAAACTCCATAGTAATTTGACAATTGCGCGTGATAAAAAGAAGCCTTATAATATCATATCGCGGTCAAAGTATATTATTATATTCGCGGTGCTCATGCTTGGGGGCAGAATTTTTTAAAGTAATTTTTTACAATCAGGCTTGGGTAGCTTCTCCACCCTTATGTAGGATATTTCACTAACAAACCCCATTGTATCGTACGAACTAATTAAAATGCTCCTGCTTTGTTGTCCGTTTGTGTCCGCCGATGAAACCATTTCTTATATTTTCGTTTGTAAACTATTATATACTACTGGACACATCTGTTGGCTCACCCAATATGTTTATGGTTAAGCAATAATTTCAAAAACACACGAAAAGATCATGACAGACCCACCATACCCCTAGCCATACCCCTAGCCATACCCCCAGGGGTAGGGTGGGACTGAACCATACCACCGTAGGCGTAGTGCTGTGCACTATATGCTTTCAGGTTTTGTTTTACCGAATATTACGTAGGTACCTGGTGTCAATAGCATCCCATACGACATAGTATAAATATGTACTTATAATTCATTTTTACTTGATTGTTCTCAATAATAATCTTATCGTGTATTTATTTCAAGTATCCTTTTGTACGTAGTAAATGCAGTTAGTGCACAACGAAATCACCATAGGGCATGCGTTAGACAAATTAAGAACATAGATTAACATCTTTTAAGTTTTTCTGTTTAAGATAAATAACAAAATAAGTATTTGTTATATTTTTAGGTTTTTCCAGAACGGATTTCGGTTTTTTTAATAAACTAAATATTCGTATCTGTTAGGTATCTATTTTTATTCTATTTTTCCATAAAATCCCAGCACTACAACGGTGGTATGGTTTAGTCCCACCCTATCCCCAGGGGTATGGTATGGTGGGTCTGTCATGGAAAAGATGGTTAATAAATCAGCTTCAAAACTGCGTAGGTAATAACTATTTGCTCAATGTAGCATTTATTTTTAATCAGAGATTGTCCGGAAGTGTATAATATTGTAAGGGAAGATTTAAAAAATGCGCACCGAATTTAATGTCGCTCAGGAATCTTATTTTCCCCGAACAGATACAGTTAATGCAAACACAAATATAATCGTTTCTAACGTTTTATTTGTTATTTCATCCGCTATTTTTATACAATTAAAACGCATTAACTTAATACTAGCAATCAAGTAATTAAATCAAAAGGTTGTGCGTGTGAACAAGGGGACCAGATGAAATTTCTCAAAATTAAATAAGTACGATTTAGTAGTAGTCTAAAACAGTTGTAAAACGAATCTGGGAATTTATATTAAAGTATTTTAAAAATAAATCTCTCAGTCCTCACAAGCCATCAATTTGAGGTACTGTGACTACAGAGTTTTAAAAGTAAAGGAGATTGCTCAGCTTCCATACATGTTTGGCCTAAAAACCAATAATCATGAAAAATTGTTTCCTAGATTCGAAATTATATATAAATTACCGTAGAAACGAATATTATCGACGGCCACTCCTGAGAACTTCTATAAACCATATACACTGAATGATTTTGAGGTTATGTTTGCAAATAGGCACATAGGTATTAGAATAATAAAAACCAAATAACTTATATAGGAAAATAGGGCAATCAAGCCAAGTACCGATATTATGTATTAGATTCAGGTATATAGAGCATGTAAAATAACAGATAATTGCCTGTTTTTAAAATTAATGCACAAGAGTAAGTTTTAAAATCATGATTATGCCATTGCGACTTTCAGAAGCAATCTTGTTTCATTTGACAAGTGTCTAACACTAATTACACTAACAAAATGCATGTCAAGGAACTGGTACCTGCTTGCCTATGTTATGAGAAACATGGAACTGTTATCATAATTTTATAAAAACCAATAGGATATTTTCTTAGTAATAATTAGGTTTATAATGGTAAAAGGTAATTCTAATGTAATAATATATTACGTAGGTTCATGATAGTTCTGATCAATGTGTGAAATATGTTTATCCCTGACATAGCTTAAATATTCTGTTATGGTAAATTAATGAAATAAAACAACTTAAGTACTTTTATGTTGCGTTTAATGTTACATATCATCTACATTTTGAATTAAAATATCATCGAAATATTTTATCAATCTTTACAAAATAGATTTGTTTTGATGTTATTTAAACAACCTCGATCAGTCTTTGTGAATGTTACTACACCCATAGCCAATAAAAATGATTCGTATGTTTTCCAAACCGGTAAAAATAGAAGTCCTTTTTTAAAATTAATATATTATTTAAAGATGGCCGTTAAAATCTAATGACTGTAAAATAAAGTATAAATTACGCCAAGAATTAGTGTATATGTCAATATTTTATTTGCATTTAGGCCAATTTGACCAATCTCCTTTGTAACAATATTTACTGAATCACAAACCACTATGCATCAAAGAGAAAAACAAACATAACGACTAAACTGTGATTAATTAGAAAGATTATTTTTTTAGTGAATATTACCGTATCGAACAAATAAAATCTTACTTTTTCTACTTAAAGTTTTAGTACTAGTCTTAAAATAATTTGTATATAGAAATGAAATGAAAATATTGACGCTATTTGAACATAGCTATTATTAAAGGTGGTCCCTCAATCCTCTCATCCGCTTACACTTGTACAGGTATACGTTTTAACTGTAATTCTGAATTGATGGCAAACAATGGATGGATCTTGGTGCATTTCTTTTAACTTATTTGTTTTAAGACTAATACTAAATCTTACAAATATTATTTTGAGAAATTCCATCTGGTCCCTCTGTTCATACGCACAGTCATATCAATCACATATCGGTTCAGTTGCTATGTATGTAGACACGAGTACTTGTGTTGTCGTATCAATCGAATACCGTAGTTAATACTATAATTTATATTATTCCACCAATCATCATGAAATAACTGTATTTTCTTCAGTCAATAAGTGGTATGTCTGTAAATACCCTTCGATTGCTCTTTTCTTAATTTATCCGCATTAGCCAGTAACTCTGTCTTGATGTCTGGATATGCTTCTAAAAGATCTTTCCATGTGGAAAACTTCAGGTACACGAGATCGACCACCTGTTTAATGTTACAAATTCAAATTCAAGAGACCTTACAATTCTTAGATCTTATGTAATAATTGGACATTTAGACAAGAAAGCAAACTGACTTAAAAACACAAATGGAGAAGGATTTATATGACATTGCTGCCCGCCCGCGACTTTTCTGCGCAACAGTTAGTTTTTTTGAAAAACAAGCACAGCTCATAGCATAGGAGTCTAAATTTTTTCTGGGATAAAAAGTATCCTAGGTTTGATTTAAGTAATAAGCTATATGCGTGTCAAATTTCATTGACGCTCGTGAAGCCGTTAGAAATCTGAAGGCACGTTTACAAAATCTCATAAAACCTTTTTGTAGTATATCCTATGTCTCAATCCAGGTAATCGTATTAATATTATAAATGTGAAAGTTTGTATGTTTATTACTCAATCACATAATAACTACTACACGATGAAATTTGGTATGCTTATAGTTTATAATCTGGATTGAGACATAAGCTACGATTACTTTATATCCCGGAAAAAAATTAGGTTCCTGTGGAATTCTCAAAAAAACTTTAGTTAACGCTAACAAATGAATAATAAACAAGGAATAAGCTTAGACTAGTTACGTCGTGTTTTTTTCATATCACTCAAGTGTCATTTGTCATTCAATGAACAGAGACAAACCATAGAGTAACTGGTACAAGGTTAGTCTTCGTTTATTCATAAGGGGATATGAGTGAAATCCTAAATCCTTTCAATCGTTTTTCTTTCTGCCTTTAAATATTTTCTTGGAAAGCTCAAAAACTACTCATCGTATTTTCAGGTGGTTTTTACCATGAGTTCTATAATATTCCACAGAAGATCTATAGGTATCTAAAATATAACCCCGAAAAAAAACTATAGTCTAAATTAAAGCGAAGCAAGAGCATGTCACTAGTAAATATAATCACATTTTATGCAGTAAGATTACGAAGTCGAACTTTTAAATCGCTAATTGTCCTCCACAAATTAATGTCAAATTAAAACTATATTAAATTATATTACCTACATACCGTTCGAGTGTAATAACTAAACATGAAAGGAGTATCGAAGAAAGAGGGAACTACTCCAAAGTAATCGTTTGTCGTCAATAGAGCTAGCAGCCTGTTCTCGCCGCTGAAAGATAAATTCGCTATTATTTTCATTTCCAGTAGTCTAAAGTCATCATCATCACCAACCTATTAATGTCCTAATTGCTGGGGTATAGGCCTTCCGTATGGATGGATTAGGGGCCTAGAGCCAAGACCAACGTCACAATGTGCTTTCCGAAGCACGACGGAACTCGAGATAATAAGTTGTCATAAGCCTCACTCTTCCTGTTTACAAATAAAAGAAGATTATCAAGGTAAGCAAGAAAAGGAAGATTGAAAATATTACCTCCTCCGTCAAGACAAGGGGCAAATGAGTAGTCAATTGGCACTAGGAGATACTTGCTGATTTGCAGCAATGGTAAAACAAGCTGATTGATTTGTATCCTTTTTCAGGAGATATATAAAACTACTTAAGCAAGAACCTTTAAAAACACATTAACTGTTTAGCATGGTCCTTTATAACATACATAAATAAGCATTCGAGCAGTTCTCATTTTAATAAATATTTGTGAAAATACAATTATTAAAATACCCTTGTTCCGAACGCCACTTTTCAACTTCGCCTTCATGTATAAAAAATATGGACGCATTAATGTCACCTTCTTCTACAATACACTTTCCTGCAAAAGCACATAGCATTCAGTACACATGAAGTGTATTTGATACACAAGTAAAGTCGAGAAAGAGGAACTCGCACACGAAGGGTCTCATGCCATTTGACTTCAACTTTCCACCTGTAACTTCCTGAGGATAGCCCGCTGACAGACCAATGGACAATGGAGGCTTTTTGTTAGAGTTCCATTGTCATCCTTTGGGTATTAAGTGTCAGTTATACCACACCCCGAGAAGTTAATAACCGCTGTTTTTCGAGTGGTTTTCCCCCCTTGTTACAGTTTTGTCATCTCTAAGCTGCTGATTAAAAACTCGAACTTGTGACTTCAAGTCTTTGATAAAATCTTAATTTCTTCTTATATCCAAAACACAAACTAGGAAGTTTAGATACAGATTTTTTAAACACAAACCAACCAGGGAATAATACTGTCCTTCTAAACTTGGCTACCAACTGGCGTTTGAAATATTCAGGGAGTGTCTTGAACATGGGTGGTATCATCAGATGGTGCATGTATAGGGCACCGAACAAATCCTCGCGGAGACACGTGGGTGCTTGATGAGCAAGTTCTGGCAGCCAATTGCCTACGAAAGAAGAAAGCATGATCAATAAATTCTTGTACCTACTGTGAACAACATTTACTTCTTCAAGACTCAGTATAGGACAGGTAGGTTTGGCAATCTTTCCCGTCGCATCAGCTATCTTCGCAACTTTATTCCAATTATGAAAGTGTAAATATTTATATGTGGGATATCAGGGTAATTTAGTAATTACTATTTCTAACGTCTGGTCTTCTATGAAGTAGAGTATACTCTCCCAAACGATGGTCCAAAATAAAATGAATCCGATGTATCCAGGAAATAAAAGAAAAACAAAAAAATTACTTACCCCCTTGCCTTTGCCACAACTGTCTTGTATACTCCTTCACAGTATCTAACAAGCTTGGCGATAACCCACTCTGATGCAGATAAGTCACGAGATTGTTCACATTATAATCATACAGATATAGATCCCGATTTTTCGTGCATATAGCAGAAATGCTCATGCTAAGAATCCATAAGTGCAAAAGGTGAAGCAGATATTCGATGAATATTTTGTAATAAATCTGTGAGACGTTCAAAGGGGCTATCTAGAGAGAAACAAAAAACATGAACATCTATTTAAACCAGGACATCATTATCATCAATAAAAAAAATCAATAGGTTTATAAATAATTTTGAAGACCTGTGGGTCTTCCCTATAGATGGATTAGGATGAGAATAGTGGCTCATGTCATAACCTAATACGCTGGCCCAGCTCAGATTTACAGATGCTAACGACTGCAGATGGAGCCATGACCAACAGTTAAACAAGCCTCCCAAACCACGAAGAAGTTCGTAACAGTAAATTTTATGTCACCAATCCTATGACCAGCCCTTGTAAAAGTTACTAACTACCAAGATCGCATATCTAAGGTACTAACCAACACAGAACAAATTGAAAGGTCACAACACAGGGCAATGGCAAATTGAAGTTTTAAGAACTTTGTACAGTTAAACCACAATTTTTATATTATACAGCTAAGAAATTATTTAATGGTTAATGCATAGAAATAACTTACTAAAAATAAACTTGACTGGGTGAATAATATAACAATAAAAGTCAATGCCACGATGTAGTCGTTCTCCCAGTTTTTTGGAACGACAAAGTATATTTGGTCAGCACTGGTGTTTGACTTGAAATTAAACGCTGCTCGACTGCAGCCTGAAATTCCAAGAAAAAGAATATTGGCGCTAAACCTAGCAATAAAGTTCGAAAATTCTACGGAGCACAAAGTTAAGTCTCACCATGGGTTTTAATTTGTTAACTATCACCTGTTGCAGAAAGAGGTTAATGCTACGGGAATCTCTGTATTTCATTACTGCGAAATTAATCAGCAAATCGTCTTCAGCAGCCGCACTGACCCATCCTACCCGAATAATGCTTTCTTCCTATTCCTCAACAGCTCTCGACGTTGGAGCGGGTTAACCGAAAGACTACTGGCGTCAGCCAGGATAGCGGGCAATAATGACGTACACTACACAATGATTCAACGCACTAAGATACAGCACTATAATTTCACACAGAGAAGCGAGCGTTTGGTTCATCAACCTAATGAATTCTTATCAACAGCGGGAGAACCCTTCATCGTTTTGAAGGTTCTAGAAGTGGAATACTGGGATCAGCGAAGTATGCATCTGATCGAGTCGCCGACAATTCGAAGACTGTAGAATGTAGCGGTGTGTCAAACAAAAGGTAGGAAAGTTCGGAATTAAAATGAATGCAAAGTTGGCATGGACAAATAATTTTATCATATCTTTCATCTGTTTTAACAACAATCGCGTATATTTCCAATATATCAATAATTTTATTCCTCTAAGGAATATTCATAGCTATGCTAACGATAGTACAGTGCATGTAGGATACTTCGGACAGGCAGCAGCTGGATAGGATTACTGGCAAAAACCAAAGAGAAACGGGAGAATCTTGTCATTGAACTCAATCAGACTTTGGAACACAATTCCGAATAGGGTATCACGAACTTGGTTGAGTTTAATGGTTAAAAAAAAACAAATCTACGCTATCACTGCAAACACGTCGCCATTCCTTCCTTTTCCTTTTCTCTACGGCACAACATTAAGCGCTGGATAGAAATTTTACCATGCTCAGTATGGAAATTCACTGTGACTAATCTGTACCCAATATGATCGACCAAGGAGCGCGAAAACGTGCCTAAATAAAAAAAGTTATTAAATATTAATAATACACCAACATCATATACATTTAACGTAGGACTACAAAATTTACATGTTATGTCATTATTTATAAGTTAATAAACCAAGCAGAACAGAACCAAATACTGTTTCACTATAAAAGGAATTATTAAAATACTCCAGGATACATTCTCAGCATTTCTTTTTCATATAGAAACACGCTTTCTTACTTAGCATAAAGATATTTTAATATAACCTCCATATTTTCTCATCCCGGCTTTTACCCATTCGTCATAATCTATACGTTCTTGATATCCATCTAGTTGATTCGTTATTAGGAAAGGAAATGTAGAATCTGAAAATATATATATATATTAAATGAGGGTCATAATTAAATACTGAATGCAGGTACTAAATAATTCCAAGATATTCTCAAACCGCCATATTAATAAACGTAGAATAAGCTTCGATTAGTTACTCTGTCTCTGTTCATTGAATGACAAATGGCATTTGAGTGACATGAACAAAACACGGCGTAAATAGTCTAAGCTTATTCCTTGTTTATTAATAGGGGGGAAAAAGTTTTAGAAAATAAGTACGGTAGCACAAAAGTCCAAAAGGAATAAAAAAAAATTAAAGCTCAATTTTTTTCTGCGTTTTAAATAGTATGTTCGCATTCATGTGAACAAATGTGTAACGAACTGACATAATTCGTCTTATAGAACTATTCTGAAGCGCGCGATGAATTTTTGACTTATCGACTATGACTTAATGTTTATCAACTCGTTTTTGAAATCTGATGAAGGCTTTCGTGTTGAAAAATTAGACATGACAATGACATCTACACTCTATAAACATGAAACCACACTATATACTTGAAATGTTGTGATCTTAGCATTCAACTTTACCTCGACAAGCAACATATATCCAACCACAAGACAGAGCATGCAATACAAGAAATATTATCATAATCTTCATTAAAATTGGTATCACACGAATCTGTAAGGTGAAATATTATTAATACTAGCGGGCGCCTGCGACTGCGTCCAAGTTAACTTTAGTGTTCTGAGAATCTTACAGGAACCTTACATTTTTTCGGGATTAAAATTATTTTTTGTCTCAATCGAGGTAATAAACTATGTGTGCCAAATTTTATCCAAATTCCTTCAGCCCTTTATCAATTTAATCAACCCAGCAGCCCCCACTTCACCCCGTTAGGGGTAATGTTTAAAAGAACCCTAATAGTAGGGGAGGCCAAGCGGGGATTTTTGTATTTACTCGGGCGCGGCAGAATAACATATGGGGAGCAACCTTGTTGCAAGTAGGTAAGTACTCCCACTGTACCTTAGCCATCTATGTAGGGCCGAACGTCTAGGGCAGCAAAAACAAAATTTCAACATACGGCCATGACTTGTGGTCGGGTCCAAATCGTCAGTGTTTTGAATAGGAGCTACTGGAGGGTTCACGTAACATCCCTTCTCAATGTCTGACGCGCTCGGTTATTTTTTCCTATATTCTACCCCTTCGTACGGCCACCCCTATATCATGCAAACCGCGGCAGATCAATATTTTTTCCGTTCTTAGAAACGTTACATGAACCCTCTAGTAGCTTATATTCAAAAGACTGACGATTTGCCCGCAACCAAAAGTCATGACCTTTCGTTGAAATTTTGTTTTTGCTGCCCTAGACGTTCGGCCCTACATAGAGGGCTCAGCTACTTAACTAGGTGCAAAGTTTGCTCCCCATATGTTATTCTGCCGCGCTCGAGTAAATCCAAAAATCCCCGCTTGGACTCCCCTACTATAATAGATGGTTCATCGGGATATGGATGGAAATTAAATTAAATAAGGAATAACCATGGATACATGGTTATTCCTTATTTAAGTTTTGAGTTAATCAAAATATGCGTTGGAATTATCCATATAAAAACTTGAACACTCTCCTAATCCCCTTTTAGAGGGTAATATGGGAAAACAAAAAATGACAGCTTTTTAATTTATTAAGATATAAGTATTCGTACCAAATTTCGTATTTTTTTAATTCAAGGAATAAGTTTTTCATACAAACTTCTTAATGCACCCCTAGACATCATAAGGAACATTCGCGCCAAATTTGGAGTCTCCAGACTCAGCGGTTTGGGCTGATCATTCAGTCAGTCAGTTAGTTTCTTCTTCTTCTATTTAGATGAGATTTAAATGGTCAAAATTTTTACACAAAAAGACTGTTTGATCTTTTAAGCGATATATATTTCAATATTTGTGACAATATTACCCGCACGTACCCGATCTAGAAGATTACTCTAGTAAATTGCTTAAACTTCATTCAGAATACTGTAATCACCTTGAAACCTGTACAAAATTGTACATGAAACAGATAGAAAAATCGGAGTCTCAACAATCGAGCAAGATGATAAATCCAATATCCGTTGATGATCGATATATATGGTACTATAAGGGATATACAATCAGCGTAAAACCCCCAACACTTAAGCAAACGGTAGCCTTGGCGTTTCTTCATTAAACGTTCATTGTAAACAAATATACCGACCTGGAAAAAATATAACAATTTAATATTATTACCTATCATAACAGTTATAATTTATTCTAACCAAAATAATTAGGCGACCTATTATTTGAACGTCATATAATAAAATTTTAGTTCAAATGTGAAACACCAAAGATTCTTGTCACAATTTTCTTTATTACATATTTAGCAATACATTATTATTTAACCAACCATAAATTAATTTAACATGAATATGCACTTATACATATAAGGAACATTCGTCTACTTCAGCAAACCATACCAGAATGCCTCCGCCGCCTAATGTGAGTAACCTTCTCTTGAGATTACCACCTCTTTGACGCACGGAAATCAACTAGCACACCATCTAGGGTCTCGATTCTACTAAGTCTTCCGGTGTCAATCAAGTACTGTTTATAATTATGAGTTTACGTATAGCATATTAAATATTTCTTTTTATTAATTTTTAAAAACAAAAATAAACCTAACAATCAATGAACGTTTTTGAAAAATAGAATATTTAAATAAATAAATATTTCCAACACTCGCACCAATTAGTCTAGCGCCAACCAAAGTAAGCACTATAAGGCTTGTGTTATGGAATACTAGGGTAATGGATAGAATACATATATTGTACATATATAAGTATATTTATAGAGAAATACATATTAAACGTTCATGACTGGAGTACAAATGCTCGTATTCGTCACACAAACATCTGCCCCACCGGGATTCGAACCCAGGACCTCTCGAGTCGGCAATGAACAAAAAGTAATCACAGTTATTTTGAGTGAACGTTCAGTTAAGTTCCCATTTCATAAATACTAATTATTGAAATGGGAACTGGGAATTTATAGTATATATATTTTCAGTGTCACTTTAAACTATAAAAGTGACACTGAAAATATATATACTATATTACACTCATAATAATAATATTTATAGAAGAAGAAACTAGCCTACAACTTCAAATACTATTATTAAAACCGAAGGAAATCTTACCGCGTAAAACTCAGATGAAATATAAGCAAGGTGAATCAGGTCTAAAATGAACAATAACCAAGTAATATTCTTGGCAATTTCATCTGGTATAAATCCTATTATGAGAACTGTGGCAACAGCAATAGACGGGCAGACAAACCAAGCGAAAAATAAAAATTTTGAATACCAGTTTCTTCTGCGTGCTTCTACCGGCTCTTTCATCCACTAAAATGAAATAATTTTATTATATTTTTATCAATCAGTAGATCACAATAACGTTGATGAAAATAAACGTTAATACTCACGGGTAGATGTAAAAATTTACGTCCCCGTAAAATATACTCAATAGTATTAAGTGGAATTTCTTGTACTTCTACTTTAACAGTCATGTAATCATTTTTAGACTGGGGATTGTCCGCTATATTTGACCTTACCTAAAATCAGAAACACCGTTATTTTGCGATATTAACAAATATCTTCGTTCAAGATTACAAGCCACATTATAACAAATATGACCAGTTTCTAACTTGCCTTGTCATTAATAATTTCTTGGAATTGTTTGATGGGTATTTTTAATACGTCAGCAAACCCATCAGTCTTAGCCGAAATAAGCACAGGACGAGATTCCTTGGAATTCAAGGGCCCGAAAATTGCTCCCTGCAAATATATTTGTGATTACCAAGCTAGTCGTTGAAAGCGCGGGCCACTTAGACTTAAATTTATAAAAATATCAGTGAAAAGTACCTTTCCTAATATAGCTAACTGTTGTCCCTGTTTACTAGCTATAACTTTCCCTCGATGGACGATAAACAAGCTCGTCAGATAGTCCATCTCCCTCACGATCTGCTCGCCGGGTCTGAAGCACATTTTAAATCCAGCGCTTGATAGTTGGCTTTGAATTGATTCACCAGCATTGAGCAGCGTGTCTAGAGCCATAAATGTTCTATGCGAAATAAAATTTTGTTGTTTTTAAGATCTTGAAATTTTGTTTGATAAATATATATTATAACTTATACACAATTACAGTTTTCTTTTTATATGCTTGCCTTTTATAAAAGAAATAACTGAGGTCCTGTCGAAATATCATTCCGATTCGTTCGCTCATCATATTTTCTATATTAATTCCTTTGGTTCTGTAATTAAAGAATAATCATGGTTCATTCATCTCATGTGAGTGGCTATTAACACATTTGAGCTATTAAAGTAAAAACCTTTTCCACCAATAACTAAAATGAGCTACAGCTTGATCTATCAGGGACTGGTCCACTCGCTCGGAAGTAAGAAACTTTTGCAATTGATTGACACCATGTTGGAAGAGAGTGCCTGTGTGGGACCTAAGCACCATCAAAGTAACGCAATAGCATTGTATATACCTGTGAACATTTATAAAATTAATTCAGTTGTGTTGACTGTTGGTGTTCATAAGTATTTCTTTAGTCCTTATTATTTTTGCAGGTTTGTTCTTATAAATCTTTTCTCGGTCAGCCTTCAACTCAACATAGAATTCCATATCTATTACTTTTTTAATTTTTCAAGCATTTAACTCTTATATTTATTATTCCATATTACTTATATACTTATCTCATACTCCTCATTTATCTTATTATATTGTCTTGTTACTCATAACAAAAGTTTTTCTCTAAATTTGAAGCACTGATGTAAAAGGTTATTTTCCATAATGAAAGAGGCTCAGAAAATCAACAAAGCATCATTTTTCTACACGATATGGTTTATTGTAGCTATGTATTTCGTAAGCACTGCTTAAAACTAACTAGTAGTAAGGCGCGCTTAAATCTTCTCTCATTTAAATAAAAAATAACATTTGATTCTTTTTCATCTTTTAAGGGCTTAAATTAAAGATTATCATCAAATCTACTAGGCTAGGATTATAATATTCTTCGCATAAGGAAAATACTCACCAAAAGATAAATTGAATTAAGTATATTACAATTATTACATAAGTTTCTAATTTGCTTTGTTGATAATGCTCGCTTGTAAAAGTTATCGTATTTTGAACCAAATTTAAAGATTCGGCAAACACCTAAAAACACGCAAATTTACTCTTGTAAAGACCATTTATATAATATTATGAAATAAGTACAAATAGTAAAAATCACAAAATAATATGCTAGTAGGTTTTAGTTTATCAATTTCTATTGAAGTGAAACAAAACATAAATTTTGTCAATTTTACCAAATGCAAATGGTCAACTGTTAGATTATTGTCTAACTTATAATAGGTGGGCATCCAGCATTGGTGTCTGTATGCAATATGAGTCAAACCACCAAAATCATCAAATGAATAATCAACGCAATAATGCACCATGTAGTGACTACATCCCAACATGATCAATATGGTAACTACTTGCCATTTGATGATCTGAAAACATTAAAAATTATTGCAGGATCAAAAGTCTATCTTACTACAATGGCAGATAAAAATATATGTTTTACTTTAGTATTTATTAGCGTGTTTATTGATGTAGCGTGGTTCATTCATTCGCTACATAAAGAAGAGATGAATTTGTTATTTATGTAGCGAACGAACGACACAATTTTATTTTTCAAAATATTAAAATCTTTTCTAATCTCTAATGTGATACAATAATTGATTATATGACCAGAAATTATAATTCGAAAATCTTACCAGGATATAAATACTGTTGATAGATGGCGAATGGGCAATATGATTGAAGAAACACATCAAGATATACAGGTGTGAAAACTTTGAGATGGTATTCAAAAGCATACCATTATCATCAGATAACTCTTTTGCCATTATTGAGCCACAAACAATAGGCCAAGGTATAATTCCTATGATATCCAGTAGAAAACCTCTTGTAAGATAGTTCACTATGCACATGCGCTTGTCGAATATAACAATACCTTTATCGTTATAATAGAACACCTTAAAATGGGAAATAATATTGAATATAGTTAATGGCCTTTTTGGGGCGCAAAATCTTGTAAGAAGTCAGATAATTGCAACACCAGTGGAGTAATTTATATCTTTAATTTCTTAACACAGCCTCACTTTGAATCCCAAGAGCTCTGTTACTACATCACAGCCAAAATAAAGCACTCTTAAAAATGTTAAATTAATAGTTTTATGACGAAGTAATCGAGGGTTTCCAATATTTACCTATATTCATCTTTGATATGTCTAAAAAAGTTGATCAAAGGATTCAATGAACACGAAGAAGAAACAATTTGTACTGAAGATGAAATCCCTTTTTATCCTATGAATGTAGATCATAAAATGACGTACTTACCAATATCTTGAAAACGACATCGATACAGGCTACACAATCACATATGGCGCCGACAACAATCAAAGGTCGTCTAATCAGAACGCCTATTCCACCTTTACAAATGCATTGAACTCGTTAGCGCACCTATCTTAGAGATCCAAACATAGGGATAATAGTTTTCATGAATATAGACTTACTACGCTATTAGTGGGGGAGCCCAAGTGATGCTTTTTAGATTTTCTAGAGCACGGCAGATTAATAAAAGCGGGGCAAGCTTGCACCCTGTGAAGTACTCCCACCGTACCTGAGCCCTCTATGCAGGGCTGAACGTCGAGTAGAGCAAAACTTTTTTTTTTCAACAATCGGCCACGACTTTTGGTTACGTCCAAATTAACAGTCTTTTAAATAGGAGCTACTGGAGGGTTCATGTAACATCTTTTCTCAATGTCTGACCCTCTCTCCCACACCATGAAAACCGGTCTCCAGTAGCTCCTATTCAAAAGATTTGACGGTTTGGTTTGATTTTGAGATTTAGACGCGTCCAAAAGTCATGGCCAATTGTTGAAAATTTTTTTTGCTGTCCTAGACGTTTAGCCCTACATGGCTACAGAGGGCTCGGGTACGGTGGAAGTACTTCACAGGGTGCAAGATTGACCCCCTTGTGTTATTCTGACGCGCTCGAGTAAATCCGAAAATCTCAGCTTAGACAACACCGTACCGCCCTCCATTGTCAAATCTCTACAGGTCCATCTGTATGTCAGCAGACCGTCTCCCATGATGACTTAACGGCTAGACGATTGAAATTTTAATCTTAACTATGGAAAGAGGATAATATATCAGTGGCATTTACCTTGTAATGATGTACTTGCGATAGCCACAACGACGGTTACAGTTCTAAATAACATCCAATAGTACATAAAACTGAAAAAAATACTTGAAATTACTGCACGTCACACAAGACAACTGCCAGTATTTTCGATTATTTTCATATTGCAAAAAAACTTTCATAAAAATATAAAATCATTGAAAACCCTGCAACGCTCAAGACCTTATTATTTCATTTCAAGATCTTATCATTTACCTACAGATAGGGCACATTGTGTATTCCAATTTATTAACGGCCCTTTTCAATAATCAATTGTAGTAAAAGATAGGCCTTTTAGAACTTAGCTTATTATATTGATTAGTTCAAAATAGCCACTGTTGCTAGGAAAAGCAACCAGAGCAAGCTTATCTTTTACTGGAGACTGATGCATAGAACTGGCCACCAGATCAAAGTTTTGTTTTAAAATGTTCTTGTTCATATTTATGATTTAAAGTTTTAACAAACAAATTTACTCAGAATCGGGAAATCTCCAACTTGAATCTACACCAATATTTCTGTCGTAGTAAAGGGCTGTATTACTTGTTTGATTTCTTGCCTTGATAATTCTTTCTCGTAATTTCATGAGATACTAGAAAACATTAAAAACAAAGTATACAATTAAATCTGTTTGGATACTGCAATGACTTCATATTATTTAAACCCATTTAGGCATATGTGTAAGAAATTGGCATATGCAAAATTAAAAAATTCTTTCCAACCACCTCTTTATGTTTTTTTACGTAAGCTTGAAATATGTTTTCAAATAGTGGATCAAACTCTTCGATGCAGTTTTGAAAATGAGACGCCTCGTTTGGGTATCTTTTGATAATGTTGATGAAATCTTCTAGTTTTATGTATATCAACTAAAATAGGATATTAAATATTAAAAAAGTGCATTTAAATTACAGCAATTTGTTAGTAGACATTACATCAAATTTTAAAGTTACCTCGCATTCAGTGTTACAAGAATAAGTTTTCAAAGATGGTCTTTTGAGTAAAACGGTGCTCACTGAAACCATTTGACCTGGATTCAGGATTGTATTAAGTAATTCCCCTTCCTCATTATGATATTCACATTTGATATGTCCCTGTTAATAAAAAAAATTGTTCAGTTGCAATGTTGACCTCTGTTGCCAGCCCTGTAATTTTAATTTACATAACGCAACATTTACTTGCACTATCCAACTGACAGTTTTCGACTGAATACCGAACAGTAGCAAAGTTGTATGCTTAGGCATTATTAAGAATTTTGCACTCGATGCCAACTCTCTCACAAGGCTAGGGTCAGCCCCAATAAAAGCTTTCGATTTACTGATAATATTTTCAGCCACTTCACATTGTACTTTCCAGAAAATATCAAAAGCTTCTTCTTTCAATAATATAGGATGCATAATATCCATTCCTCTGTAATATTTCCATTGACATAGCAAATATTTGTCAAGCCTCTTCATTAGGTCTTGGTGAATTCTATGATGCTTATAATAGTTTTTCAGATTGGTTACAAACGTTTGATAGTTCGCCTGCTCTCTTCCTCTGAGACATAAGCAAGATATAAATATGCATTCGAATACCAGTACCATTAGGTAATGTCCAAAATCATTCATTATTTCAAAACAATAATAAATCAGTCTATGTGGCTGAAATTTGAGATATGCGATCGATATTCCTAAGAAAATATTTTCCCCTTCATCAATGGGTTCAAGGAAAAAATAAATTGTCAAGATTTTAAGGAAAAGTAATAAAATCATAAAGCCGACATAATATGTTATATAAGCTAAGCAAAATTTCATCAGTACTATCTTGTACAGAATATAGAATATGGGATCATTTCTTATATTCCATTCATTTGCATAATCATTGGTAAATAACAAATAAATTTTAATCAAACGATTAACTTGACAAAAATTGAATAAATCTGCTCTTCTTAATAATAATGCTATATATTCTAGCCATATCGTCGCTAAAACGTCTAAGACAAATTGTGGCCGCTTACATCTTGTCAGTATAACTGTGGTAAAATTTTCAACTACACTATTCGTTGTTAATATTGATATAAATATGTCAGCTATATAAACAAAATCAGTCCAGTATCGAAACAATTTGAACCAGCTCGACATCTCAGTTCGTACCAGATTTGGTGGATATGCAATTAAGACCATAAACACAGTGATCGCAACAATAATATGCCAGATCCGAAGAAAAGATGTTTCAGATGATAAAATCCAAGGAAATTTTACATTAGCAAACAAAGTTTTGGTATGTAATTGAACATCGCTGCATAGTACTAGCTGGCCAATGTACTTGGCACAATGATAAACCGCTTCTTCTGGTGGTAGTTCACATTTTATTTCATCGTCGTCACACTTTTTCTTCCAACTAGCTACTGCACCGGATATCTCCCACCATCGTCTTTTAAGCCAAGCTATACCTTCATCTTCCGTTCTATCTAAGCCCCTCACATGTTGTTTACAAGTATATAAAGTTCTTGCATGTTTTAGTTTCTCTCTAACAAGCTTTATAACATTGCGTCTGTCGACAGGATACTTTTTTAACGATTGCAAGATATCATACCTTGATAATGTCAATACTTCACAGTAAGTCAAACAACGTAGGTTAAAGTGTTTAGTCTTAGATGGAACTATAAAATTAACGTCGCCAAGTATTGTGCCACTAGTCAATGAAAGCAGTGGTGTTACGCCATCGTCAGAGGAAATCAACTGTATTATACCAGATTTCAGATAGAACATATTTGAGTGGCAATGAAGCCCAGTGTAAAATTTCTCTCCGGGCAGCTTATAGTTTAAATTAACAAATTCACTTAGATATCTTTTAAGTGAAGTGGTTGTTTTCCTTAATGTTGGGCTATGGTAAAACAGCGGCCAAACCAAATCGTGTTTTATATCAACTCTCAATGACTGTGGAAGTTCAGTTACGATGTTAGGTAGATTAATAATGCCTTTTCGTTTTTTCCACATAAGAGTATAAAAGTTAGTTACGTGAATGTGAGCGAGTGGTGAAGGATTTCTTCTTTTAGTTTCATCGATAATCTTTTTGCATCGACGGTAAAACTCAAACATGCTTTTATTTACCAATGTTGACTCCGAGAACAATTTAGGAACTAGCACCTGTGCGTATAATAAATAAAAGCAAACCAGAAAAACGCTGACTAGAAGGTATTCTAATACCGTTGATGGCTTAATTACAATCTTATCGTCATTAGTGATAAGTGCCATAATATATAATGTTCCATAAACATAGGTTGTAAATTGTTCATCGGTGACATTTTTCTGAAAATGCAAATTATAGATAACGAAATCATTATAATCAGAAATATAATCATCATATAAAAAGATTCGATTAGAGTTTATAAAGATCGCTAATACAAAATTCGACGATGTCGGACGCATGCAACAGTACCAAATAAAGTTTACATTTGCACGAAGATTTTTGGATTATTTTTTAATTATTTATTTACTAATTTAGTACACGCACAATAAAACAGATAAGAACAGGAACAAAAATTTTGTACAAGGGCACTGCTTATTTCATATTGAAATTTCTTCGAGCAGGCCCGCGAAAGGAAATAACCCCATTTAAGTATCAAATACAATATTAACTGACTATAACATTCCAAAATATCTAGGATATCTCCTCACTTTTCATAACATAATAAAAAAAAGTGCTCACAACTTTAAATTACAATTATAAAATACTGCAAAAATAGTGAGTGATTTTATTAGTCACTTGACTATCGTTGTTAGAAAGAACCGTGTTAAAACAACAAATGTTTACAGACCTGATAATTTATATATTTTCTCCAATCGTAGATATTATGTTTACAGTTCTCACAAAGTCCATTTATTGTCAGCAATATAAGAAAACAGCATATACAATTCACACATAGCAATAGCATGAATATGAAACCTGTCGCCAATTTACAATAAGAATGTGTCGACACCATAGAAAAGTACTGGACAACTCTGTATATCCTGAAAATAGATTAAGTAAGTTTATTTAGCTATTGAAAATTTTAAAAAGAAACTTGACAAAAATATAAACGTATTATATATACGTACGTACGTACGTATATTTTCTTAAGGGTTGAGTAAATAACATACTGCAATGGACAACCAAACTAGAAGCGTTGGCTTGGTACGATAAAGCCATTATTATATGACAAAAAACGCGTCTCTGTGCTGATTTTATATAATGTACAACGGAGTGAAATGCATTGCAATGTGATAAATACTAAAGAAATAAAATAAATGCCTACTAGAAATATCAGTTACACTTACACAATAAACTCTGTAAAAGCCAAAATGTTAGGCCAAAGTTCTGCCAAAGCACAATTCTCGTATGTCATCAAAGCGTAGAACGGGATCAAAGATATCACGTCAATCAAAAGAAGAAACGCGGATTTCGGCAAATATTCCCGTTTCATTGTTGTCTCAGTTACTTGTCTACGAAAATCACAAGAATGATATTATTTTTGAAATGAAAATGCAAAGTACCTGTAAATGCAAGGTACCTAAGGAATATTCAGTCGACATTTACGAATCGATCAATGACCTTTGGAATCGAGCATTGTTTTACAACGTAGATGACATTTGTTTTTTTTTCTTCCTTGTATCATGTCGATTCTTTAGGGCTTCGAATTGGTACTGTTGTTAATTTGTTAACTTACAATCTTTGCCTCTTTTATACTCAATATTATTATTCGTAATCTATGAAAAGGAAAATGACTACGAAAGTATTTTTCTTACCTATGAATTATATGAAGGAAAGTATCCAAAAAGTAAATAACATCACTGAAATACGTGTAAAAATACTTCATAACAGATAAATAAAGATTTTTGTCTATAACATCTGAACAATGGATTATAGGATATACTGCTTGGATGGGGCCCTAGAACCAATAACATTCATAATATAAATAGAAGCTCTGCACCAAAAATATAAATTATAACAAAGAATATTAACAACTAGTGGGTGCCTGCTTCTGCGTGGATAAATAGGTTTACCGTACAAACTTCCACCAATCCAAAGGACGATTTCTAGGATAGAAACTAGCCTATGTCCTTTCCTGGATTGCAAACTATTTCTATACGAAATTGTACCTAAATCGAATCAGTGATATAAGCGTACAGAGGTAACAGACAGACACACTTTCGTATTTGTTTATTTATTAGTATCTATGAAAGTTTTACTCACCAACATGCATTTGACTATAACGCTCATTAGGACAATCAATTTAAAGACGGGGTGAAAAGGTAAGAAGAATAAGTCACTCCAGGTGATATGATTTTCCTCTGGGACGTCGTCGTCCTCTTGATCTGAATCATCGAATTTAGTTGCGGATAGTTCCATAACCTTTTATATCCTTACAAAATTGATAATTGATATTAAATTTTCTTTGACTTTTGCAGATATTTCTGCTGTTATTAAATACGTCGTCCTGACATAAAAACCGAGTTCTAAAAACTGGTACTCTATGGTGAACTGATGGTTACGAACATAGATGAAAGATTTCATCCGATTCTGCTACGATTATGTGCATAAATACAATATTCTTTACAAATCATTTCGTCATTTGGTAATATGAAAAGCTTATAGATTAAAAAAAGGCATTTCTGTTTATTCTGTGTTTAATATAGTACTTCCATTTTGTAACATCAATCAATATAAAAAAAATATTTGATACTAGCTGTGCCCCGCGATTTAGTAGCCTATGTGTTAATACAGGGTGTAAAATTTTATTAAAATCGCTCCAGCCGTTTAGATGTGAAGAAGTAACAAACATACACACTCACATACTCACAAACTTTCGCCTTTATAATATTAGTGTGATTGAAGGAAGGCATCGTAGAAGTAGTTTTATAATGGGTCTTATTTTGTCATAGTCCTCTAAACTTAAACTGATTTGTCAACAGTAAGTACTTATCATAAATACGCAGGTAACAAGTTAAGATAATTTTGCTAAAATTAAAACCCCTGAATAAATTATATATTGTTTAAAACTTTCATTGTCACTAACATTATAGCTATTAACGGGATGGTTACCATGTACCTTGTTTTTTATGAGTCTCCGATATTTCGGCATTGTTGCAAGCGCCATGATCACAGTTACTCCGTGATCATGGCCCCTGAATAAACTGTTAACTAAAATGATCTCCCTATTCCATCCGTAGGAAAGTTCTGTGCCCCAGCAATGATGATGAAGTAAAATGAACAATTATATTTATTCACGTGTCCCTCCCTCTTACATCCTGGTATCCTTTAAAAGAGGCGTGAAGAAGCAATATGCAGGCCGGCAGGGTGCGGATGGCTGGTGTGAAAGGTAGAACTGCTGTATCAGCTATCTTCGCGTCTGGACTTCACCGTCACTTAACATCAGGTGGAGTGGGCTATTTGTTGGACCTATCTATAAAAAAAAATAACTTAAACTCTATGAAAACATGCAATGAACCATATAATAACATTAAAGTAGATATAAAAGATTTTAATTAAGTGCCTTTCGGTGTGAAAGGCGCTGTTTTTGGCTTTTGTTCTCCAAACCAATTAAGCTTTGAGAAAAATGAAACCCCATTTCTTGAAAGGAGGACGCGACGGTCTGTTTAAATATTTCGACTGCATAAATCTTCATTTTTAAAACTCCGATAAACACTTGCCAAAGTTGGGGAACTAGTTTCAACAAATGGTGCTTATTAATGAGCCGTCTGACTTCAAACAGAAAAGAATTACTTTCTGTACAACTTTGAAAATTTTATAAGTTCAAAAGTTGAAAAAAGAAACTTAGGAAAATAAATTAAGATTCGATATCTAGGCTTAAAACATAAAAGAAATGGGTACAATTTTTTTTTGTTGCTGCCAGATAACGCAAAAATATATGGAGTGTTTCCTAGTAAAACGGAACAAATCTATCTAAAAAAGTCCTTATCATTATCCTATGCTGAGTGAAAGTGACTTCATTACAAACTTTAGTAAGGAAACTTTGTAACATTTTACCATAAGTCTAATAAGATAGTCTCATTCACCGAAAATATGATTCATTTCTGTGGTCTAATTTCTAGAAAAAAAAATAGCGTGGACTTAAAAACCTTGTTAAATATTCATAATGAACCCTATAGATGCCAATTTTTATCTAAAAAAATGATTGAGATAGCCCAGCGAAGTGTTATAAGGGTGAAAATTTAGGGTTGTGTGTTTTATTAATGCTGAATGATAAAAATAACTGAGGCCAAATTAAAATAACTTTAAGTGGACCACACTTATCACTATAAAAACTAGTTTCCGTCCTATTATTCTCCGACCTACTGAATATACAATACACACAACATTTTATGAGAATCGGTCAAAAATTTTATATTTTAGAAAGCTTATTTGTAAGGCTGCATCCTACAAAATGAACGTAAATAGAGAAAAAGGTGCAAAGAATATTTAGGGAATGGCTTAGTAAAACCAACTCGCGAACTATCTACATCAGTAACGAGCGCTAATGCTCCACCATCTCTGTTTAATTAAGATAATGCTGCATTCGCCTTTTGACGAGTTGCGTCTAAAGGGAAGAATTACACTGTGTTACTGAGCCTAGCTTTTACTCCGCACAAAGAGAAAAACCAACAGCGAAGCTCAAATTCTACTTTACTATGGTTTTATTTATATGTAGGTATATGAAATTCTGATTCAATGTAACTTTAACGGTTTCTTTAACATTTTTGAAGTGAAAACTTCTTTAGCGACGTTGTACACTTTTTTTGTATGGGTAAAAAATGTTAAACCCGCGTCAGGTTAAACACGTGGGCTGATCGCATCATGACACACAATAAAAAAAGGTTGGAAGGTTGTTGACTTTCAATATATTGGACGAAACATAGTAATATTTTATTTTATCGTATTTAAAAATAAGTCTCTATCTTGGACGTCCACGTGGCAGCTTTATTGCGAAGAAAATGTTTTTTTTACAATAGATGTCGCTAGGTGTATTCTTTCAAGTTGATGAGATTACATAAGTATGTTATTGCTAAAGAGCTTGGCACTTAATAGTAGGAGTATTTTTTGCATATTACAAAAAGGACTTACAAAACAAATAATCTGATAGGTGCACTCAATGATAAATTAATCCCAACAAAAACATGTTCATGTAAAATATGTCACAACGGGACCCATGATGACTTGCACTGTCAAAAACTTATCAGATCTCATGTAGAGCGTGGAGAGCCTAGTTTCTAACTCTACACAATATAACTACACAAACTCTACACCTTATTTAAAATATGTGGCTTGGCGAATTCACTACATTCACATGGGCGTGGGCGTGGCATGGAAGGAGCTCGATGACGCAGGTGGTTAGCGCGTTCAGCTGCGATTGTTGAAGTTAAGCAACTTTCGCAGTGGTCGGTCATTGGATAGGTTACCAAAATTCTTCTATCTCAAATTCCTCCGTGCTTTGGAAGACACGTTAAGTTAAGGCATGTGGTGGGTCATGGCCAAGTCTCCCTATTCCATCGATAGGGAAGGCCTGTGCCCCAGCAGTGGGGCATTAAAAGGCTGATGATGATGACATGGACGTTAAGAGAAAAATATATACACTGTTCATTACTCTTTTAATAAACAATAATTAAGAAAACGTAGTATTATACAAGCACAGGAACTATTAGAAATGCAATAAACGTATCTGATATACAATAAAACAGAATTTATTTATGACATGATAATAACCTGGAAATCAGTTTGATGGAATATAAACTGGAGGTTTGCGTGCATTCAGATGGATATTGCAAACTAATTTCAGTCCTGTAAGTTGTTATAATATTGCCTTTATTATGTAGCAATAAGAGCGATTTATTTATCAGCCAATGTCCTCATATCTATGTAGGTCACAGGACCTTCTTTACGGATGAAACAGGCAGAATTGGCAGAATCAACCATGGTCGCCCAGTGCGGATTACGGATGTTTACGAATGCAGATGCAGCCGGGAAAATGGTGGCCCCGACGCTCGAAATAATAAATTCTTGGTGATAATTTAATTTTGTCATCTTATACCTGTGGTTTTTAGGGTTTCGTACCCATAGGGTAAAAACGGAACCCTATTACTAAGACTCGTCTATCCATCTGTCCTACTTTCTATCACCAGACTTCATCTCATGAACCATAATAGCTAACCATACTAGGTGTTGAATTCCTGTTGCCGCTTTAACAAAATATACTAAAAACAGAATAAAATAAATATTCAAGGGGGGCTCCCATAATAACAAACGCGTTTTCTTGTGCTTTAAATTATTAATGGCAACAGGTAAACGCTTGAAATATTCTTGAATATTTAGTTGTATTCACTTTATTTGTAAATAATTAAATTAAAATATTTAAGGGGGACTTCCCATTATCATTGGGGGCTCATGGGAGCCGCCTTGTATGGACAAGAGACGTGATTTTTTGCCGTTTTTATTCAATATTGTAATATTGTATACATAATGGTACGGAACCTTTCGTGTGCAGGTCCAACTCAAACTTACCTGTTTTATATAATTACATTCAAAATTGTAAAGCTGCAAAGCAAGATAATATTCAAAGCAATCTGATAGTTGGAATAGATAAATAACATCCAATAACCTGGACGTGAGTGTACCATTTCCCGCACCCTCACCGAATGAGCAAATAGATTCATGCCTATTTTGTTGCTGAGCACGAGTACAGAAATATTAATGTTTTTAATGGTTTAAACTAGGTAAAATTATGTTTTTCTTGGTAAAAGTATTTATTTATCATTATAAAATACATACAATACTCATAGATATTTCCATGTTTCGCGAAAAAAAACCTGAATAATTCTCTGATACAATTTGGAATAACCACTACAAAAACATCGACAAAATCAAATGAGCGTCTCTCAAGCATAGATTATTATAATTTGACGACCTCCGTGGCCGAGTGGTATATACTCCGGGTATCATGGCATCGCCTACTCGTGGGGTTCGAGTCCTGGTGGGGACAAATATCAGTATGATGAATACGAGCATTTGTACCTTAGTCATGGAAGTTTATGTATATTTCTATATAAAATATACTTATATATATTAGTAATATGTATGAATTCTATCAATTATTCTAGTATCCCATAACACAAGCCTTACTTTGGGGCTAGGCTAATTGTTGTGAGTTTGGAAAATATTTATTTATTTAATCTAAGCTCTCAAGTGATGAGCTCTCATCTTCTATAGATGCCTATATTATTTTTGCCTACTAAAATATTGTTTTTTATTTACTTGAATGTTACTGTAGCGCCTGTTGGCATACTAAAACATTGTCAGTCGTTAAAGCCTAGCAGTACTTTGTAATTATATTATGAGCCTAAGATATAACCATGCAAGTATATCTATCTACAATTCTTTGTTAATTGTTGTGATTTTCCTTTTTCAAATTGTTTGAATTTATGAAACACAATCTGT